TTGAGCAAAGGTGGCAATGTTGTCACAGTGCCAGGTATTAAGGGCCACCAATCGCAACCTTAGCAGCAGGTTGGACAAGTGGGATTCGTCAGGACGATCCTCCGTGGGCTGCTTCACGTGTGTACCCACCAATGGAGGACACGAGCGCAGGGAGGTATTAAAGTCGCCTGCCACGACTAGAGAATCCCGCTTGGGCACCTGCTTGACCACCTTAGACATGACTGATAGTACATGAGCACGGTCGTCCTTGTTAGACTGGATGGACTTGGCCGAGGACCAAGCATGTTGATACACAGCCACAATGACCAGCCTAGTACCTGCCATGTCTGCACGAGCTTCAAGGACCCTGCCTGGACTCCACTCCTTCCAGCGAAGGCTCTTGGCTGTAAACTTGGGTGAGAAGAGAATCATGACGCCATCCGCCCGGGTCGTGGATGGAGCCGCTTTCGGTTCCTGCCTAGTCTTGCGCTTCGCGCCCTGCTTCTGCTGGGTGCTACGTTTGGCAGACTCCGAGGCCGAAGAGATGCAATGCCAACCTGAAACACTGAACTCGCTAGTCTCCGTCCAGTGCGTCTCCTGCAGGATAAGGACGTCGCAGTGGTGGGAGGCTTCAGCTGCCAGCCACGTTTTTAGTTCTCCCCATTGCTGTTGACCTAGGTGCCCCGCGTTCCAAGAGACTACCCGAATGGATCTTTCTAGTCGTCCTGCCCTGCGGGAGGCTGTGCCATGTGCAGGGGAGTCAGCAGTCTGTGACTGAAGCTCTCTTCGAGTCGGTGGGGGCCGCACCCCCAACTGGTTGACTAGGGTCGGTGTCAGAACCTGTCCGCGGTATGGTACGGGTCCGTCACTTCTGATTGTCCGTCTACATGCTGTCTTGAACGAATTCTTGCGAAGAGATGCAAAGTTTTGTGAGTGCACTGGTAGTTGCGCCATCCGCTAATTTCGTCAAGAGACAGAAGCCTAATGACTCCCTCCACTGCGCGGAAGTGGAAACCCTACCGCCTACCCAGTGTTGCAATGTTTTAAACAGAGTCTGGGCCCAGGAATTGGGACCTGGCGGCTCAAAGCAGCTCCTGTGAGAAAAGGGAGAGGACCATGGCGTAGAAGGAGGCACAAACCTTTACTGTTCAGAAAAGGGCCCGGTTGGAACCTCTAGCACAGCAGTTGCGCCCCAAGCCTGTTCGAAACCTCTCATTCAGCGCGGCCGCTTGAGCACTTGTGGCGGCTACTGCTACTACTACTACTACTACAACTACAACTACTGCTACTACGGCTACTACTACTCCTGCTACTACTACTACTACTACTACTACTACTACTACTACTGCTACTACAGTTTTTCGACCACTACTACTACTACTACTACTACTACTACTACTACTACTACTACTACTACTACTACTACACCACTACTACTACTACTACTACTACTACTACTACTACTACTACCACTACTACTACTACTACTACCACTGCTACTGCTAGTACTGCTACTAGTAGTAGTACTACTACTACGACTTACTACTACGACGACGATGACGAGGGCGACGACGAAGACGACAAAAACGACGATTACAGTACTGTTTCCAGCGGATAGCTACCTACATTATTTACTCTCTATTATTTGCGACTCTGCACTCTCGACTCTCTCTTGTCTGCTGTTCACTGTCTACTATCTACTGTCTACTTCTGCCTACTACTGTCTACCAGTAGCTACTGCTGCGGACTACTACCTACCACTATCTGCTGCGACGCACTGCGACTTAGCACTATTTGCTGCTACCAACCAGTGTCTGCTACTATCTGCTACTACGAGTATCTCAGAGAACTGTTGTACATGCATGCATAGCCTTGTGATTGAGGTTGCCTTGCTACATACCGCTGCCGTTAGGGCCATGAGTCATACCGGAAAACTTCCAAGATATTTATTGGAAAAGTCTAAACCTCGAACGCAGATGCGACCCTAAGGCAAAACCAAACCCTTGGAGAAGATATGGCTGGCTCTGGCAAGCTCTGCACCTGCTGGGTGGCAAGCTTCAGACCTTGAAAAAAAACGCGCAGCAAACCCCAAGTCCCAAAAGAATAAGTTGGCAAGCCCAAAACCCAAACAGAAAATCGTGGACGGCAAGCCCTAACCCTAAAAACAGGTGCTGAGGCCCAAACCCGAAAAAGCAAACCCTATTAAAGCTTAAACTCGCAATGTTGTGCTGCAGGAGCATGACTGGGCAGTGTTTTCTGAATCGGTTCTCGAATGTTCTCGACTTTGCTGAATCAACCTGCTTGGTTTCCTGTGTGTGTAGCTGAATCGAAGCACCGTTTTCAGAAACCACATTGTACTCCTCGCACCATGGCTGCCAATATCTGTTCTGCCGAAATCGAGACCAGGCAAGCTGCACACACTGCGTGGTAGTCCGAGCCTGGCAGGTGCCAGCAAGAAGTCCAAACTACTTCTCACAGCATTGGCAGCCGGGGGCTTTGCTCCTGCTTCCCTGCTTGCAGATCGGAAAAGTCGAACTGGGTTGCGCGCAGCAGTTCTGGTAGTCTTTGCAAAGGCCTCAACTCCACTGCATGCTCACTCGTTCTTCTTCCGAGCTGCTGAGCTTGCAGGTCCAACATCGGCCAAGGGGCTGTTGCACTGGCAAGGTCGCCAACTGGCAACGCTTTCGGGACTACGGCATGAAAAGCTGACTCGAGCGGTGATTCGCTGCACTGCCTCACGTAGGTCTCGGCACAAGTGAACTCGCCGCAGCCTCAGAAACAAACACCTGGCTCACTGCTACTTTCCTCACAAGCATCTGCCCCGACAGATCTGCAAGAATGGGCCTTCCGAAACAGCGTCAACACGAACATTGATTGCCTCTCGAAACGTTAAACACTGAACAGCGTAAGCAGTCAAACAATGCTTCCAAGCTGCTACCCCATTTGGCCGTCCTGTGCAGTACGACTGCAAAATGTTTGTCGTGGACACCGGCATTGCTGAAAATGACCGCCGGGATTCACCAGCTCATGGTGAAGCCACTGGCTGTAAAAGCTCTACGGCCCGCAACAGATTGAAAATTCGAAATTACTGAAGTGTTAACTGTTAAGGTTGCGGCGACGCTCCGCGGAAAGATCTGGTCTTGCCAAGCCGTGCCGCCTCAAAAACTTGAATGTGCCCGAAGCCTCGTGTTTTGCAGGTGGTGGTACTTGCTCTAGGATACAGGACTTGGCTACATCGAACAGCTGGGTCACCAACGATACAAGCAAAGTCAGATACATGTACACGACCCTAAAGCAATCCAACCCCAATTCCGTTTGTTTTGCGACGCTCTCCATTGGGCTCGCCTTGGTTCCATTTCGCAGTCTCGCTAAGCTTGGCGAGCATTCGTATGCATCACAGCCTACCTACTAACTGCAACGAAGACCACATTTACGACCATTCAGTTAACTGCTAGCTGCTAGCTTGGAAACAAAATCTGACGAAATCCAAAATGACTTCGATGCCAGGCTGGCGATGACTGTCAACTGAATACTACTAGGGGCTCCACGTGACATACATCTTGCCTTATCGGTCTTGACACATCGGACTGAACAATATAACACTCAGATTCTCTCAACCAAGCCAACCGCATCATCACAGGCAGATGGCAGCACAAAGGCCGCGAAGCATCTTGGCTGTCGGAGCTGCAGCTTCTGTCGTTTTATGGCTTGGCGTATAATCTTCGCATCTTTGCCTGCGACTCACCGCTGATTGAGAAACCAGGACGATCCAGGCTCTCACGTGTCGATTGCTGTTTCACGAGTCAAGCTGCAAGCCAAGCACGATCTGCTGCATGAGGATCGCTTTTCACCTGCGCTGCATGCTGCGATTGCCGAAGCAGCTCAAAGACGGCGCAAAGTGCTTTAGCCGGAGGCTGCCTCTGCACTGACACTGGCTCGCTGAGAACTGATGTAACGCTGGGCAGACCAGAACGTGGCACAACAGCCCTCTACAAATCCAAAGGACTGACACCGACACCAGCCACATGAGAATCTCTTGGATCCGGCATCGTCGAGGCCTGTGGGCCAGCACGAATCACCCAGCTCAACGGTAGAACAGGCAACCGCCTCGAGCTGCCTCCCAGAGTCAGAGCAGTGCCGAAGTTGATTGAAACCTGCGCTCACCGCCCCTGGTGTCTCCTCGCGGTGGTGTGTGTGTGTGTGTGTGTATATATGACCTTCCTACCGGATATTACACGATGCATGCTCAAGGAAGCTACTAGCTACTGTCAAGATGATCAAGAAACCAAAGCACAGAGGCAAAGTGAAGCCCATGACCAGGGGAACAACAGGGCTGCCCAGCAGTGCCTTCACATACTCCAAATTCAGCAGATTATCATACCAATCGATGCTTTGCCGCAGTCAAGCAAGCCCAAAGCAAAATACAATTCAACAACACTAACCTTGCAGCCACGAGGACGCTCTGACCTACGAATACAGCGCCCAACAAATTCTTCCCTGCCTTCTGAGTCAGCTGGAAGCATCAATGAGCCGGATGGCCACATGAATGAAGCACTCACTAGCACATGTTGTGATGCTTCAGATTCGATTCCGTCCGAAAGCAATGACTCCATTCTGTTTAGTTCGGAAACTAACCCAACCCTTATTGATTCCCAGGACAACTAAAAAAGCAATCGTGTGGGGCAGTGCACCTCTCATGGAACCCACACGCCACCATCTTTTCGTTCTGCCACAATGCCGGGGAGGACCGAAGCCACAGGGCTTATTGACAGGCATTTCTCTTAAATTCATCCATCGATTTGCAGGCGAGACCGCCGTTTGCAGACCGATGGACCAACTGTCACCTGCATGAGAAAAGTGTGTGGACATTGCCACAGTCCCTTCAGCACTTCAGCACAACTGACAGAGCAGCCTGAGCAGCTTGCAGCACACAAGGGTCGTGATACTGTTACATCGGTGCTACTGTTCACGCTTCCGGACGCCAGTCCCAGTGACGAGTGCGCAGCCATCCCATTTCGAGCTCAGGGACGCGAATCCTAAGAGTCAACTGCATCACCTCAATGCCACAGCTACCGTCCAAGCAAGCTGCACAACTAAGTGTACATACTCTCGGTTATGCCTGCAAACATGGAAGTCCCCAGCAGTGACGACGCGCAATCTGTCCGATGGTCAAGTAAACTACAATTTTGCGGAGCAGTCTCCCAGCCCTTCGACAAGGCACCCTCCTGAATCAGAGCAATACTGAGGCTCCTTACGGATACCTGTGCTCGCAGCTGTTGCGTCAACTGCAGGAGTGGATCGGCAGCAGCCTGTTCAGGCATTGAAGGCTCTGGTCAAAACGCCATGGAGCCGTGTCAGAACTAGGGCACGACGGTTTGGTCCGAGCTGCAAACTATGTTAAGGGATCTTGAAATCAAGTCTGAGCTCCCGTACCCTTGGAGCCCCGTTTGACTCGCTCGAGCTTGCCGCGAGCTTCGTGCCGCCGTTCGATGGCTCTGAGTGCGGCCTGGCATTGCTCCGTTCGGGATATTGAGCAAGCTGGATTCAAAAGGAAAGTCACAGCTCAGCTCAAGCAACAAGGGAAGTCAACTCACAACAGCATGAAAGCCATGCATCATACCATGCAACAACCGAAGCCCTCGAAATGGTCACAGAAGACCCAGAGGCCCGAATGGAAACTGAGTCGGATCAGCATTCGTTCCACATTCCAAAATTCGGCTTCCCCGCAAAACACAATGGCAGGGACCAGGAAACCCACGAGCCAGTGTTGCCCGGAGCGAGAGGCGAAGAGCCGACAGCTTTGGTCAGCAAATCTCTCAATCTCAGTTGCGAAAAAAAAAAGACTTGTCTCGAACCACGGAAGATCAAGGACTTCGGTTCGAGCAGCTCAGCCTTCCTAAGTAGTGCGCTTGTGCTTCACCTCTTGGATCGACCAGTCGCCCGTATCCAAAGACCGACTTGCGCAAAGCATTGACCTGAAGAAACAAGCAGGCAGCGGCACATTGTCGCATGTAGGTGATAACAGTCAGACACGTTTTGACAAGCAGTGCAACTGCCAAATGGAGGTGCTGCCTAGAGTAGCCGGTGATACACATGACCGTCCGATTGCGTGAATTGCGGACTTCCTCTACAGCGTGTGAAAGACAAGATAAAAGTGAGAAGTAGCAGCGTTCATGCGTATTACGACAGGTTACAAAGCAGAAGCAACTGCACCGCGTAGTCTCCTGTATTCATAATGGTCTCTTAGTGTTCCAGGACTAAGAGCTTCGCCTGCTCCACAAGGAGGGACAACGGCTCTCCGTGGGCTTCCTGCAAAGGCAACCCAGGCGTTCGTGTTGCTCCACACATCCAACCAAAACACAACCGAATTGACAAGCAGAGGTCGCATAGGCATCCTGTTGTCGTCGCAATTGCATTTCAAACCAGAGCTCTCGCTGTCGCAAGCGTCGAACCACCTGGCGGTTCAGGGCACAGACACACCGCACCTTTCAGGCCTTCACACGGGCATTGGAGACAGCTTTGCGACCTCTTGTAACCGGTGAAAACACGGTCGCACTGTTGTCACTGCTCGCAGCGGCCTCGCACTTGTGCCGCAGCTCCTCCTCAAGCCCGAACACCCGCTGCCTCATGTTGGAACTACTGGGGCCAGGCTCCTGGCAGACATGAAACCGCACTCGCGGTGGCAGAGCAACAACGCCAAACAGATCACTCATGGCACTAACATCCTGGACGGGCCCTTCCAGCCGACTGTTCGTCTGATGTTCTTCCTGTCAAAACACGCACCCACCCGACTACCACAGAATCCAATCACATCGTGAATTTCGGGAAATCACAAGACCGGCCTGAAGAAGTGCAATTTCCGCTTCCAGGCGCTTGTATTCCTGGCTGGACAATTACAGTTTCCTGATACGTGCTGGAACCTTGCAGTGCGACGACCCCAAATGACGCCGGCACAAAGTTCAACCAACAGGCTAATCGAGTGTGCCCTGCAAACGGAAACTGCCACTTCTGTCCTCCTGCGCTCCCGCAACCGTCCTGTTTAATTCATCCCCCAACTCCTGCAGCAGAGCCGGTGGATCGTCGCAGCTGTCCAGGCCAGCTGAGAACGGAATGGCGTTTGTTGATTCCGAACACAATTGTTGTGCATATATCTTGTCTTTCGTGCAGCAGAGTGGCATGGCATCGGGCCTATGCAGCTTGTAATCTGGCAATACCACTGGATATCATAAAGCAACAAAACGAACGCGATCAAGTGTGATTGTGCCATCTGCACCAGGTTCTTAGCAAAAGCCACGTCTGGCCTGGGTAACAGCATTGGATCTCTAAGTCCTTGAACTCCAACTCTGCCTCTGCTTCCTGGCCAACGTTACAGTCAATGATGTTCCAACTTTCTGGCTTCTAGAATCTAATGCTTTATTTTTCTTTTGCGTTCGATTTTTGGGCTTGGAGCTTGTCTTGTCAAGCTTGATACTCCTATTGTTTCAAACCATTCGAACTCAGGGTCTAGGGCTTACGGGTCCGCAAGCATTGGGGGTCGGGGCTGAAGGGCATCAATCGCGCCGGCCAGAAGGCCAGTCGAAAGTCAATACGTGAGGTCATATTCATACTGTGCCACGGTATGCCCACGGTGCAAACATGTTTAAACCTGGCAACAAACTTTCTGTACACATTTCTTTTGCACACCGGACAAGTACGCTGAATCCCATAAACACGTCATACACCCCATAACTTTCCGCCTTGAGCTCACGTCGCAGTGCATCCACGTCAGCAAATGCCATGGGCACGAGGCAAGTCTTTGGACTGAACAAGGCATGCAGTAAAGTTATATCAACACTGTTTTACAATTCACACGCACGGTATCTTTACAAGCCTTGTCATGGCAGCTTCTGTGTCTTGGTCTCGGGGTTTAGCCGCAACAGTATCAGAACCGAAAACAAGGCAAAACGCCTGGTGTCCTGCGCTACTGAGTTACTGGTTTCTCGTGGTTCGTTTTGTCCTTTTCGTAACAATACCTGTATTTTTACTTTTTTTGCAAGAAACTGTTCGAAACGACTCTTGGCACACTAAAACGGCCAGTGTTTGCTTACAATCACTCGCAAGCACGAGGTCACACCACATATATGAAGCAACGAAACGTGCATCTACATACTCAAACTTGCGATGGCAAACCAAAGTTCAGGCTTGCTCCGCTCAAGGCTTTGCTGACATATTGACACCTCCAGGCTTCGTTGTTCTTGTGTCATCGCATCGCCCGGTTGGCTTACTTTGATGAGCTTGAAAGCAACCTGGCAATTACATTGCTACTGAACCTCAGATTGGAAGATGGAAGATTTCGGTAAGCCGGGCAAGCGCCGGCCCCAAGCACTCGCATTCATTCACAAGTGCGGTTCCAGGACCTGCCGTTCCTCCGTCGTAAGTTGGCTGGTGGAACTTGGACCTGCTATTGCCTGGGTGTCCGCAAGTGAAAACACAGTCCTATAGATCCCGGTCTTTCTACACGTCAAACTGCGGCTGCAGCACATCACAAACTCTGCACAAGGCAAACAGTGGCGTGCTGACCATCACGCAAGCGAATGTCTCAGAAGCAAGCGACACAATTGCACTAACGTGATTTGCTTGTTCGGCTTTTACCTTTTGATTTGAGTCTTCAGTTCTTGTTCTCTTGGCTTTCTTGTTCGGACCGAGTGCGGCAGCCGCGCCGAGACCTAAAAAGCGAAGTGTCAGAAGTGCTGTGGAAGCCCCTTGTCTGCGGCAATGTTTTCGATCAGCTTTCGAACCCCCCAAAAAGCCCATCCTTTACCTCACCATCCGATAAACTCGGAAAGAACGAACAAAGGAAATTCGCATGGCTCCGGCGCAAGCAAATCGAGAAGTGTACCAAGTCCAAGTCATCACCGGGTCCCATTTTGTCCACAAAAGTCCCAGAGTCCGTTTTTTGCTGGCCGGGTCTCATCCGAGTTCCGCCAGTCCCTTTTTCCCAACAAGCCTCTCGATTGTCACCAGGTCCCATTTCTTGCTAGCCGGTTCCCATGTGAATTTTACCGGGCCGGCCGGGTCCCATCCTGGTCCCACCGGGTCCACCCGGATCCCAATTTTCGAGAGCCAGGTCCCACACTCCATGTAGGTTTTAAACGTCTAAAATGAAGGGCAAGGCGGAAGCCATGCACGGTTTTTGTGGCTTTAGCGTTGTGGTCCAGGTCATCACTTTCAGGAAGTTTCAAGGGGGTCTTAAGGGAGGCTTGAAGCGGAGCTTGAAAGGAGGCTCGAAGCTTCCTCTGGGCTGCCCGAAAGGTGACTTGAAAGGGGAGGTTCAAAGGAAGGCTTGAATGAAAAATTCCAATTTCGTTATGAGAATCGTCAGGAGTGCGCAATAATCAATCAACAACAATCGAAGCAGAAATCTCAAGGTGCTCCAGAATGCAATCACTCGGTCTCTAACTTTTGCCTGGAGGCAATGAGCCAGTCTTGAGCCAATGCCAGTTGGTAGGCATTACGGCAATGAGTTCAACATGAGCTGAACAATGACCATGCTGTCAAACACGGTCCCTTGATTGCGACAACCCTTGTCGGCAATCACAACTATACAATTTCAGCTCATATTAATATGGTATAAACAAAATCACACAATACGAGAATCAGGATTTATTGAATCACAACTTGATTCGACTCAATCTAACGGACCTACAGGCAAAATAGCAGAAGTACAGAGCAATCCTCACTCACTTTTGCAATCAGATCTGCCGTTGATGTCTGGCGTCAGCCAATCAACCACTGAAAAGGTGCATTCGTCATCCAGGAAAATCCTTCGGTACATTGCAATATCGCAGTGGCAGAATGGATTTCAGCAATCCACAACCAGTCCAGAAATGCTAAGTCAGTTGAGCTGATGTCCAATCCAGACAACGTGTTACCAACCAACAATGCAATGCCAGAGCAGAACTCAAAATTGATCTGCGAATGAGTCAATGATGAGTTGTGCTCAATCAACAGAAAAGAAAACAAATGTTGTCCATTGAATGGAGCAATGATGGCCGCAACTTGAACATCAATGACGGCCCTTGCGCTTCTTGGCAATGGCCTCTGCCTCTGAAACCAATACCGAGTATTCACTTCGGCCAATGAGCTTGAGGGCGCCGGGGTGTAAATATCTTCGACAATCACTCATCTGCTGCCATTTTTGGGCAATCTTCGTCAAGCAGATACAATTGGGGTACACCTTCCAATTGCATTGAAGAAAGTGGGAATAAACACTGTCGATGAACACCTGCAGTTGGCATCCAATTCGCATACGCAGAATTGTGGATCAATCCTGAGAGTCCTTCAACTGTCAATCCCGTCATGTCGAGAACAATCGCAGTGTTCCGGCAATCTCCTGGCAGACAATACCTCGGCCCATCGGGTTGCTCATAATCGGGGTCAATGATGAGGCACCCAGAATGACCCAAAAATGAACAATCGTGGTACTTCCTGAATCCGCCAATCCCGGTTGGCGCCTTGAGCTCCGGGGACGGAAGACAATGATCTTCACAATCTCTGCAACCTGGGCGTTGCTGAATCGCTGCTGCCTGTACCAATGCGCAAGCTTTCGCAATGCACCCTCAATCGTGTACATGGGATTCAATTGGCCCATAGGTGCCGGGACGACAATCGTCTGTCCAGAAGCAAGGCCCTCAATGAGGGATGCTGGCAATGCGAGACAGACATGCCAATCTGCTAAACTGTCAATCGGGGCGTAATTCCTTGCCCGATACAGTGTAATGGCAATCTTCTTCGCAAAGATCCTGCGCAATGCCTCATAGCAATCCATCATTTTGCCAATGATCATAAATGACAGATCGGTGACGAAAATGGGAATGTCTTCATCATTCTCAATCCCAGTCATAGCTGCAATGCAGGCGTTGGCAACTTCAATCAATCGCAGAAAGACAATACTCGCCATTCCACAATTCGCACAATATCCATCAGGGACCAATACCTTCACAAATCTGTTGTGTTGAAACCATCCCAATGGAAGCTCGAATGTCGGGAGGCATTGGTTCCATTTCGACAATTGCTTGCACAATGCAGTGATAGCTGCTTGCAATGCATCCACAATCTTCAGCATGACACCAACACTCACGTGGATCAATCCTTGTCCATCAGACAATGTGATCTCGCAAACGGTCATTTTCTTGAGCAGTCTCAACCAATGCCACTTTCCACTGGCTCAACTCCAATCCTGATCCAATCATCGCGAGGTGCGTGTAGAAAATCGCCAATGCATCCGTCAATTTTGCAAGAATGGTGCATTCCAGCGCAATTGGTGGCCTGGAGTGCAAACGAATGAGAACCAATCTGGCCAACAATCTCCTGGTACTGCGACAATGGCGGTGCGTTCGGCAATACAGCCGGAGGTGTTCCGACAATGAAGGCGGGCGGCGCAGCTGCCATGAATGCGAGAGGCAATGTCGTGTGAATGCTTCTTTGCAATCGTTCAATGAACAAGCTAAGAGAAATCGCAAGCGGGAGCCATCGAAAAGTCCAACAATTCACAAAAGCGCACACTCCAGACTTTATGTACAATCTTCTTAAAACGACTTCCAATCAAGCTATCTACAATTTCGGCAATGCTTAACCAAATCATTTCGGTAGAGCTCCAAACAATAAATGTTCGGCTCTCAGCGCCGATCCTATGTACAATTTGCGCAATCGCTGCTCACAAGCTGGATAGTCGCCAAAATAAAGCAATTCTTGTTTCATGCAATCGAAGACGGAGGCAAAACACTTCCTCCAATTTGCATTTCTCGCTAAAACACAATGCTTTAAAGTCACGCCAATGCACATGCAGAGCTCAACACATTCTCTCAATTCTCACCTCTTCTTTCTTTTGCCGCAACGCATACTGAGGTCCCAACATGTACCTGTAGTGTGCAATCGCCTTAGCATAGCAGTCCCTCCAATGAGACCTTCGGGAATTCTGTGAGACATGGAGAAAACAATGTTTATTTGGTTTTGGGAATGTTCTTCGGAATACAAAGGTCGTTCAAAGTCGAGATCAACTCCTGACTGACAATGAGGATCTCAAGGCTGTAGCAACCAAACTCTGTTGATGGCGACAGTCACTCGCAAAGCAACAGAACATCGACTGCCGCACCCGAACAAGACAATGCGGAACTTGATTACGTTCAATGGAGAGTCG